ACAATACTTCTCCTTTGCTGTTTATCAACTTTGTGAAGCTGGCCAAGGTACTCTCAGCCTCACAAAAATGAAATTACTACAATGGCACCTCCCTTCTAAGGTTGTTGTGAGGATCACATGAGGGAAGATATGTAAAATGCTTTGCAAACCTTTAAAATGATAAAGAAATGCAAGCTGTTATGGTTGTTATCCTTATCAAGGGAATGACCTCTTGACTCCCCATGGAGAGGCCCATAGGCATGTTTCGCTTTGAATAATAATAAAAATAAATGGCATTTATTTAGCAGTGTAAGGTTTTCAAAGCACTTTACAAATACTAGCTTATTTTATCCTTTGTTAACTCCATTTCACAAGTGGGGAAACTGAGCCAGAAGGAAGTTAAGTGACGCCCAAGGTCATACAGCTAGTAGGTGTCTGAGGCTGGATTTGATCTTGGGTCTTCCTGACTCCAGGCCAGGGTGCTCTGTGCACTATGCCACCTGGCTGCCTGCCAAACTAGAGATCCCAATAGGCAAGGCCTGGAGCAAGTGGGCATATGCCACAACGTACAGCGATTCGAACTTAATAGCCTAACCCTTTTCTCTTGATTTGCAGTCTCTCTCGGGTTCAGTGATGGTTGTGTTCATGACTTAAGAGTCAGGTTTTAGAGAACAAATAAGATCAACCCTTTTAAAGAAACGAACCAAAACTCTAAGCTCACCTTGCACAACTCACTTAACTTCCAGAGGCCTCAGTTTCCTTCTGTGTAAAATGGAGGAATGGACTGAATTGGCCTCTAAGGTCCTTAACCAGATCTAGGCCTATGATGCTAAGGACTCACCACTGAGCAGCCTTTTACTGTTGGTAGATTCTTCTTCTCAAGATCAAACTATAACTGAGTAAACAGACTTACGTGAAGGGACAGAATTTCTGTGCTAAAATACTCCTTAAGCAGTCATCTTGATGGGAACTTGATAAACCCTGTGAAGACTGTATAGCAAAGAAGGCCTAAAGAACAGCACTGGAGAAAAGCAAACTTCCCCCATAATAACATACAGTGGGTTTTTTTTTTTTTATTAAAACACTTCATCTCCACAGTCCCTGTTTAATAAAATAAGGGTTATGGAACTTTAAAAAATATTAATGCATAGAGGTCATGTGTCTAGACGTTATTAATATCCATAACAATAGTTTCCAGAATGCGTGAGAAGTAATAAAGCAATTATCTATAGAGAAAACTTGGACAATATATGCTTTACCAACACATTCTTGACACTACAACTGACAAAAACATGAAATATACATATATAGAGAGATTTATTGTAGAAATTAATCCCACATGACAGTAGCAAGTATATTGAATATTTTATTATAAATTGTGTTCCTGTTGTGACACACAAGAAAGGAAATATAGAAAGAAACCTGATTTCCCGCACCAAGACCAGGATCAGAAGCCACAACAACGTACTGAGCGCATTGGCTAGAAATTCAATTGAGTAATTCTATTTAAAAAAGCATTTATTAAGTACCTAATATGTGACAAGTGCTGTGCTAGTCAATGGGAACATGAAGACAAAAATGGAAACATGAGGAAAAAAAGAATTCCTGCCCTCAATGAGCTTACATTCTAATGGGTAGAAACATGTACACAGATTAGTAAATATAGCCTATATAGAAAGTAATCCAGGGATGATGCACTAACAAGTGGAGAATCAGGAAAGGCCATATGTCTTCTGTCACTCAGATGTCTTTCTTCATTCTCTCTTCCTTCACCCCTGTCTCATATGAAGAGCGGGCCTTCTCCTTGTCAAAGCTAACCCCTCTTCATATACCCTTGATTCCATTTCATTTTATCTTCTCCAGGAGATTGCCCCCTGTATTATGCCCACACTTTCACTTGTCTTCAATTTCTCCCTGTCTGCCTACCATTTTCCTGCTACCTATAAACACACTCAAGTTACTCCTAGCCAATACAGTGATCCAAGACAATTCCAAAAGACTCATGATGGAAAATGCTATCCACATCCAGAGAAAGAACTATGGAGTCTGAATGCAGATTGATGTACTTTCTCTTTTTTTCTTTCTTGTAGTTTTCCCCTTTTGTTTTGATTTTTCTTTTACAACATAACTAATGTGGAAATATGTTTAATGTGATTGCATGCAGTCTTTGGGGAGGGGGAAGGGAGGGAGAAAAAATTTGGAACTCAAAATATTATAAAAGTGAATCTTGAAAACTATCCTTACATGTAATTGGAAAAAATAAAATACTATTAATTGGGAAAAAGTTACCCCTAGGCTCACAACATTCTTGCTTGATCCGTGCATCTTCACTAACCATCATCCTACATCACTGGTATCAAACAGGGCCACTAATCCATACATGAGGATCCCTGCTGCTGCTAAATTGTATTATTATCCATATTTTATTGTATTTTATTTATTTTTAACACATTTTACAATTACATCTTAATTTGGTCAGGCAGCACTCAGGAATGTTGTGGGCCCATGGTTTGATACTTCTGTATATCTCTCCTCCCTTTCATGACTAAACTCGTGGAGAAAACCATTTACACTAGGTGCTTTCTCTTCTTTTCTTCTCATTCTCTTCTAAATTCTCTGGAGTGTGACTTCTGACCCCATTGTTCACCTGAAATCACTTTCTCCCAAGTTACCTCTTTTAATTGTCCAATCCAGTGGCCTTTTCTCACTCCTCATCCTTCTTAACCTCCTCACAACTTTTAATATTATCCATCAAACTCTTCTCCTTGATACTCTCCTCTCTCTAAGTTTTCATGATACTTTCCTCTCCTGTTCTCCTCCTGTCTGACTGCTCCTTACTCACCTTTGCTGGATCTTCATCCAGGTCATGCCCATTAAATGTGGGTGTTCCTCAAGGATCTGTCCTGGCCCTTCTTCTTTTCTCCCTTTAGTCTATCTTGCTTTGTGATCTCATTAGCTCCCATGGATTCAATTATCATCTCTATGTAGATGCTTTTTGTATCTCTTGACTCAGCCCTAACTTCTCTCCTGACCTCTAGTCTCACATCTCCAGCTGCCTCTTAAACATCTCAAACTGGATGGCCTGTATTCATCTCAAATTCAACATCTCCAAAATTGAGCTCATTATGTTTCCCCTCAAACCCTCCCTTCTTCCAGGCTTCTCTATTACTGTCAAAAGTACTACAGTCCTCCTTAGTCATCTTGGCCCATCCCACAACTTAGGAGTTGAGGCATCATCTTCAACTCCCCACTGTCTCTCACATTCTCTATTCAATCTATTGTCAGGTCCTGTGGATGCCACCTTCCCTGCTATGACCTAGCCCAGGCTCTCATGACCTCTTTTACAAATAGTCTCCCCTTGCATCAAGTCCCTCCTATTGCAGTTCATCCTCCTCTCAGCTGCCAAAATGATCTTCCTTTCGTGCCAGTCTGATCCTGACATTATCCCCACCCCTTTGCCACCCTCCCCACTTGATAAATACCAGTAGCTCTCTATAGCCTCTTTGGCTTTAAAGCCCTTCACAGCTTGGCCCTTTCCTACCTTTCCAAATACTCTGGGATCCGATGACACTGGCTTCCTTGCTGTTCCTCAAACATGATGCATTTTCAGTGGCGGCCTCCCTTCTTGTCTCTGCCTCCTGGCCTCTCTTTTCTGGTTCTCCCCACTCCTGGTGCTTTCCTTCTAAGACTACTTCCAATTCATCCTGTGCATGTAGATTGTATGTACAGAGCTTTTTGTTTATTGTTTTCTCCCATTAGACTATGAGCTCCTTTTGGGCAGGAAATGTTTTTGCCTTTCTTTGTATCCCCACTGCTTAACACAGTGCCTGGCAAGTAAGTGCTTAATAAAATGCTTGTTTAGGGGCACCTAGGTGGTGCAGTGGTTAGAGCACTGGCCCTGAAGTCAGGATGGACCTGAGTTCAAAGCTGACCTCAGACTAAACACTTGACACTTACTAGCTGTGTGACCCTGGGCAAGTAACTTAACCCCAATTGTCTAAAAATAAATTAATAAAATGCTTGTTGATGGTCAACAAGGTAATTTGTTTTACTTGGTTTATGTGTTTGAAACAAGGGGTTTTGTTTTTCTGGCTTTCTCACTTGGGGTAGGGGGAGAGGGAGGTCAAGGGAAAGAATTCGGATCACAAAATAAAATTTAATTTTTTAAAAATGAATGCAAGAATGACTTGACCTCCAGGATATGGCACTTGAGTTGAACTAGGTCAGGAGTGAGGAACCTGTAGCCTCGAGGCCACATGTGGCCCTCTAGGTCCTCAAGTGCAGCCATTTGACTGAGTCCAAGTTTTACAGAACAAATCCTTTTATGAAGGGGATTTGTTCTGCGAAGTTTGGATTCAGCCAAAGGGCCCCACTTGAGGACCTAGAGGGCTACATGTGGCCTCAAGGCTGTAGGTTCCCACCCCTGGATTAGTTATTCTAGAGGTGGAGGTTAGTCTGGATAGTGTTCTCAGCATAGGAGATGGTGTCTGAACCAGCATGGCTGCAGGAGATGGTATATCATAGATCAGAAAGTAGACCAGTTTGGGTGGCATGTAGAGTGTGTGAGGGCAAATAATGAGAAATAAGTGTAGAGAGAGAGATTAGAGGCAGCATGGGAAGGGCTTTAAATGCCAAGTTGAGGAGTCTGTATTTTATCCTAGAGGCGATGGGTTCCCCCCCAGTGAAGCGTCTTAAAGAGGAGAGTGTCATACATAGCTCCATTTGTGCTTTAGAAATGTGCCCCTGACCCCACACTACATGCAGCTACATTTGTGATGGTGCCATTGGGACATCCAAAAGAAGCTGGAGGGCATAACTTTCCATTGGCTCTTTCTGGCTAGTTTGTGATTGCAAAGTAATTCTTGATTGAACTGAAATATCACTTATTTCCCCCTTGCTTTTCTTGTTCTATGGAATAGCTGTTTCTGTGGGTGGGGAGGGGAAGTGGTGGGGAGGACAGAATGTGTTGGTGACCTGACTCAATGCAGTAGTTGTTCACTTTGGCTCTTTTGTTTCCACAGCATGAGGAAGAGGCTGGCAGAGCTGTCTACACAGTAATGGCCTGTACAACTTACTGACTGTCTTTTTCAAGACATTTCAGTCCCATCTACAGGATGCCAGTCCATCAGCTATGGAAAGGTCAGTCTGATTTTTATGACCTTTTCATCTACAGTTTTCAGGTGTTCATGGGAAGAGTTATAGAATTTAGGGCTGGAAGGGTCCTTAGAGGTTATCAAATTCAACTTTTTAATTTTACAGATCAGGAAACTGATGTTCAAGGGAAAGTACTTGCACCTATATCTCTCTTCTGCCACAATGATGCAGGAACAGACATTAACACAAGTTATTAGTGATTCTGAGTCTGAGTTTACTCAGGGTGGCATTTGGGGAAAAAAAGAAAAAAATAACCCACATTTTCCCAGCTGCTGGCTCTGACTGCATAAAAGAAAGGGGCAGAGAATGTGGCAAACTTGAAATAAGACCACTGCCAGGTGGCTCAGCTGCATCCTCTAGTATTAGTTGAACAATCAACTTGCTGGAGTCAGGGGTAGGCGGGAGAGCAGAGAACTGTCCCAAACTAATGGTCCCTACATCTCCTAGAAACTGTGGGCCAAAAGGACCAGTTAGCCTTGATGAGGTTCCTAGCTGGCAGGAAAAAAAAGGGTATTTAGAAGGCATCAGAGCTCCCATAAAGTAACTCTTCCATGGTAACGTGATACTTTTGCCCTTTGAATGCTAACATGGACATCACTGTATTGCTTTAAGAACCATTCTCTTGGGCTCTGCTGACAGAATCTAACCGATAACTACAAGGTGTAACTTCCTAGAAAAATGTTCTGCCTTTACCCTATAGATAACAAGGATCTTATCCAAGGTAAAATTCATACTATTTGGTTTTGAGCTTTTATCATTGCTTAGACAATTTAAGTCTTGAATTCATAAAAGCCCAAGAGTAGCACTTTTGGGTGTATATTACACAGAAGTTGAAAACAGAAGGGCCACATACATACCAAAATATTCAAGGCAGCACATTTTATGATAGCAAAGAACTAGAAACAAAATGGGTATCCATTAATTGGTGAATGACCAAATAAATTGTGGTATATGATAATGTGGTAATGTGATATCATTGCACCATGAGAAATGATGAGTATAATAATGAAAAGAGACATGGTAAGAATTGTATGGACTGATGAGGTAAGTAAAACTAGGAGAACAATATACATAGTATATGCAATGATATGAATGAAAAAAAAAATGCTAAAGCCAAGCTGAACATTGCATCATTCTCAGGAATGATGTTGTATAATGGACAGGGAGCTGTCCTTGGTGCCAAGAAGATCTGGCTTTTGGTCCCACCTTTGGCTTATGTAGACTATGACCCTAGGCAAGTCACTTAAACGCTCAATACTCTAGACCAGGGTTTCATAAATTTATGGGGTCATGACACACAGTTTAAGAAGAGCTGGTCTAGACAATTCTTGAAGACTCCAGAAGGTGCCATCCTGTGATGATAGAGGGAATTTCCTACCATGCCAATAAAATCACAAGTCCAGTCTCATCTCCTGTCCCATATTGATCATGGAAAAAAGATGAGAACCATACCTATTTCTCCTCCATCTTTAAAAACCTCCCAACCTTAAAACACCCTCACTTGATCCATTCATCCCCATTAGTTATCATCTTATATCTCTCTTCCATTTCATAGCTAAACATCTAGAAAAAGTCACCTACATTAGTTGCCTCCACTTCTTTTCTTTTTATTCTCTTAACTTTATGTTGCTTCACTTCTGACCTTATCTTTCAACTGAAACTGTTCTCTCAAAGTTACTAATGATCTCCTAAATGCCAAATCAAATGGCCTTTTCTCAATCTTCAATCTTCTTGAATTTGAAACAGAGTGGGTACCCATGGATTGGGGAATTGCTGAACAAATTGGTCCATTGATATAAATGGAATAGTATTGTTCTATGTGAAATGGAGAGTTTAGGGAATTTAGGGAAACATAGGAAAACTTGTATGAACTGATACAGATTGAAATAAACTGAATCAGAAGATATGGATTTACAATATACATAAAGATCATAATAATGTAAATGAAAAGGTCAGGAAAAGACAACTGAACTCTGAGCAACTGAAAAAATCTGCAGTGGTCTTAGAGAAAGATTATTAACACTTATTTCTGAAAAAAGAAAATTATCACATTGGAGTGGTTTCACTGGTAAAATTTCCTTAGTTGTTGCTGACATTTTGTAGTGTCATTATAATTGTAGTGCCTTAAGCCAACTTAATATGCAGCCACATTTTTAGGAACATGGGCAGATAGTATCTGAACGACCTTATCAAGAATAGTAATGTGACTATAATGTGTAACTATTTAATAAAAAGAAAAAAATCAGGATCAACTCTCCCCATAATATTAAAAATAACCATCTTATTTTATGAGTATTGTAATTCAGTAGCAAAATAGAATCAATTATTTAATATATGCCCTTTTAAAAAATGTGTCGCAGGGCTTCTTAAACTTTTTCCACTTGTGACCCCTACAGCACTTCTTAAATTGTGGGTTGTGACCCCAAGTGCACGTGCTCAGGTCCTGTAGAAGTTCTTAATTGGAGGAATACACATCATTTATTTGTTCCTCCCTCAAAAAATTGCAATTGATGTGGTGCCCTCTGCATTTCTCATTCTGACCATGTTTCTCATGCATTAGCCAATGATGTCTGCTCATGATGAATTCTTAAGGCTATTTATTCATTGGCCTTAGTGAGCATCAAAGGCACTTTCATGGCTAGCAGGATGTAACTAAACTGGAAGACAAGAAGAAACAGAATGATTTGAAAGTCTTTGCAATTACTGAAAAAACAGACAAGACTTAATCTGATAAGATTTGACAAGGGTTTCCTCAGAACTTTCCTGTTTGACCCAAAGCATCCATGCCATCTCACTTCTGCCCTCCTTTTCTTTCTGCCACCTTAGATAGCTTTCTCTCCATGGCTCCATCCTGTAACATCCTCCCCACATTCTCTCCAGCCACTGTCCTTAGCCACTTTGCCTTTGATACCAATTTGATTGTACCAATCAATGACTGGGGCCTTGATGAGTTGTTTAAATCTCAATGATGCTGTTTCTCAAATTAAATCAGGATGAAGGTAGGACATTGTGAAAGACACAGGAAAAGTATCTTCCCAGTGGCATAGAACAGTGTTGAATTTAGACCATGTCCACTGAGAAAGGCAGCAGGGTGTAATTCATAGGGCCATCTTTGTAATGAGGAAGACCTGGGTGGAGTCCTGTCTTTGACACAAGCCAACTGTGTGATCACGAGCAAGCAACCTAACCTCTCATTGCTCCAGTCAATTCTAAGTTATATAGTCTCTACATTATATGGTCTGATTTATCTTGGTGGAGAGGGTTTCCATATGAGGATTTCCCCACAGTGATGAAATCACAGATCCATAACAACAGCAACCGAAATTCACCCAAGATAAACAAGTACAAATGGCAGCCTTGCTTGATCTTCCATAGCCAGGGCTCCCTGAGGGACCATCAGAGGGCTGGGACCTGACAAACAGCTGTCAGGTGAGTAGAAGATACCAGTTTGAAACCAACATTGGGACCAGACATTTTATGGAAGAGAGTAGGAGCATTGAGAGGCTCCAGTGAGATCATGGTTACAAAGCACTGGGCAAACCTTAATGTGCTATAGAAATGCCAGTTATTATCATCATTATTATTAATAGTAGTGATATTGTTATCATTGTTGTCATCATTATTAATGTCATTATTGTTATGTTATTATTATCACTATTGTTATGATTACTGTTAGGCTCTAGTCCCAGGCCTTCAGGCTAATGATGACTTCATTCCCTGAGCCTGCTACTGTTCTCCTTCTGAGTTCAAGCAGTGTTTCTAGAGCAATCCAGGGGTGTGCTGGGAAATGTTGAGCAACCTGTCTGGGAAGGAGGGAATCTATGCAACACATTTTAAGTTTCATCTGCATTACTAACACTTTAAGTCTAGACAATCAACAAAAGATAAATCAAGCCCTGATTTGTAACTGAAAATTTCACACTGAGCTCTCCCAAGCAGCACTCTTGAATACAGCCTTTTCCCATATTAAGAAATGCTTATACTCATAGGCACAAATTGTTTCCTTCCCTAAAGATGTGTTGTATGCATTGATATAGACAACATCCTATGTTTCCTTTTTAAAGAAATACATTTTTTATTTGTGCTTTAAGAAAAACCATTACTGGCATTCTTCGATGACTACTCTCAACCTTGGGTCTTCCCTTGTAATAAATAAGTACAGTTAACAAAAATGAATCAACACATTGAGTATGTCTGTCAATGTATGCTTGCCATTTCTTATATGTATGGCCTTGAGGAAGTAATTTCACAAAAATCTGGGCCTGTTTTCCCAGATATCAAACCAGGTGGGGTAAACTAGAAGATTTTTAAGGTCCTTTCCAGCCACATATAAAGGAGCAATTATGCCTTCAAATAGTCTTAAAGTTCCATGTCTATATGAAGGATACAACCTAAAAATGAATGCTGGAAATCTGATAAATTTAATACACACACACACACACACACACACACACATACATATATGTATATATATATATATACGTATATATGTAAATATATGCATGTATATATACACATATACATCAATATATGTATATATACACACATACACATACATGTATACACTTATATGTATGTGTGTATCCATCCCCAAAATGAAACATTTCTCACTTATGTAGATGATATGCGATTTGAGGTCATTCTGTAGAATCATATGTCTGCTATGGTTTCCCCATTGCTAGTAACTCTACTGTGACAAAAGTGACTTTTAATCAGGCAATGAATTTGCCTTCCATTCTTGGCTTTGCCCTAAAACTCAGGTAAAATGTTTATGAAGAGGATTTCTGGATTTCCTCATTACTGCAGCTAGTTGCGTCACTTTCTGTTTCAGAGTGTGATTTCACTAATGGAATTGCTCTTTGTCCCCTTTCGAAAGTGGAGAGAACATACTTCTTTCTACCTGGATTCTTGAACTATGCTATCAGGAAATGATGACTGGTATATATAAATTAAGCCATCTTCAAGCAAAAGCTTAGACCTATGCCCACCAAATTTATATCAGAATCATTTTTAAATGTAGGTACTTAAAGCAAGAGAAAACCTAGAAATAATACTTTCTCATTATAGCTTTAGAAAGGATTATGACAACTTATAATGCATAGTTGCATGTGATTATATATTTCAGGGTCGGAATTCCTGTTTAAGCCACTAGGAATTTTATGAGCAGAATCAAAGGTTCTGCTCTTTTGTGTGTAATGGCTATGTCTAATGAAAAATACAGTATTGCATTTCATTTTATTCACTGTTTGTTTCCAGAAAAGTCTACCATGCAAAATATCTGTGCATATATTTGTGTGTATATGAGTGTGCATATATGTACACACATGTAACTGGAGAAGGGCAAGGGACTGTGCAATGACAGGCCAGTATTTAGAGCATATGCAGTATCTGCCTGCTGGAGACTTGGAGACTTGGTAAGCCTACTTCTGATAGTGCATGATGGAGAACCCTCTGCATTTCAAAGCATGTATAAGAATTCTGTGACTATTTTCTGTTGGCTTACTGCATGACAATGAAAAGCCTCTTATATTTGGCAGCTAATGGAACTGAATGTGCATATAAAAGGCATGAATAGATGAAATCTCTGTCTCCATCTCTCTCTCACTCTCTCAGCTTTCAGATAAAGAGAAAGGAGAACCACTGCAGACCTCCTGGTTGAAGAGGGCCTGGAATGCATTGTGTGGGTGAGTTTCTGTCTCCATTGTGTTTATTCTTCACTCATCTTAAATGAATGAATATTAGAGGTGGAGCAGACCAGGCTTTGACCTCATGAGCCTCCACAGGTTGCAAGTGCCCCCAAAGGAACAGTGTGAGAGGAAAGAAGGTAGAGGTATTGAGGGCTGACAGCTTTCTCAAGGATCTTCGCTGAGGGGATGGTTGATAATAAAGTGATAGCCAGCCAGGATGGTTGGTTCAAGTGAGACTTTTTGAAAGATAACAAAGACATGGATGTGTTTGTAGGCAGCAGGGAAGGAGCCTGTAGGCAGGGTGAGATCGATATTAGAAAATGGAAATGATAGAAGGCAACACTTTGTGCCAGTTGAGTTTATCTTGTCAAGGAAACGGGTCTCTTCTTGAGAGATGTGGGGGAGGAAGGGAAAGCAGAGGGAGACTGAGTGATGTTAGATGAGAAGAAGAGGAGAAGGAAAAACACTTGACCGATGACCTCCATTTTTCCAGTGAAGTATGAGGTGAAGTTCTAAGCTGAGAGTATGGGCAGAGAGAGTGCTATGGGGGACTTGTGCAGAGGGGAAATTATTTGGAATGGCCATTGGGGTGGGTGGGATAGTGAATCATAAGTGCAAAAGGTGCCAAAGGATTGTTTTGCTCTATTGAGGGCCCAGTTGAGATCGTGTAGCATATATTTGTGTGCTTGTGTGTGTGTGTTCACACTCATGCATATGTATGTTTTAAAGGCTCTCCCTGAGAAAGAAAGTTCAAGTGCTTAATCCTCTTTGCCCTAAAAGAAAGCTCAGAAATAAAACCAAGTAGTCTGAAGAGTCTATAAGAGAATGAAGATGGTTTCCAAAATAGCAAGAAATTAAAAAAAATACCTTTTAAGTGCTAAAATTGTGTGAGAGAAGAATTTGGCACATTGGAATCGAAGATGTAAACCACTCCAAAGAAAGGCCATTTTTCTGGCTTTGATCCCTTATGGGCGTGTAGCTCTCTGTGGTTTTCAAATCATCCTGCTGATAATAGAAAATGATTGCTTTTACTGGGAAATTTTGATTTGAGAATTTTGTGACACCCCTTGAGATTCATTCATTCTTCCATTTGGCAAACATTTATTATTTTATCTGGGCAGAATATTGTCATAGGTACTAGGGGAGATACCAAGTTTATATAAAACACTTCCCCTGTCCCCAGGGAGCTTACAGTCTTGGAGGAAGATAAGACATATGTATAAAAAAGAATAGGAAACAGCATGGCATTAGTGGGCAGAGGGCCATCCTTGGGGTCAAGAAGAATGGGTTGAAGCTTATCTCTGACACATTAGCAGTAGGACCAGGGACAAATCACGTAAACACTCAGTACCTCAGGAAATTTTCTAAGATGACAAATTAGTGGTTTTGCTGTTCTGCGTCAGCGAAGGGAGTTTCCACACTGGAATTTCTATACATCAATGAAACCTCAGGTCTGAATATGTATTTATATCTGTAGGCATATAGATATGTAAGTACGGATATATCTAAATATGTACATGTATAACTGAATATTACATAATAAATACATTAAAGAAGTTAAGGAAATGAAAAACAAAGTACTAAGTACTATATCTACAGCTATAAAGTAATGAAGGATCTTGTCAATAAACTAGTATAGCATCCTCAGCATCCTCATTTTAGAATTGAGGAGATAAGTTCAAAAAGGACAGGAGAGGAGAAGAGAGGAATGTATGTGAAAGATTTTGTTGAAATAAAAAAAAGACAAGATTTGCAACTGACTAGATTCATAGGGTAAAGAAAATTGAAGAATCCAGAATGACACCAAGACAGTGAACCTTGGTGATTGGAAGAATATTGGAACTCTTGACAGAAATAAAGAAGATCAAAAGAGGGGTGAGTTTTGGGTGAAATACACACACATGTTACAGTGGGAGAGCCTGGCCTTTTTATTTTATTTTTTAAAATGGTATTTTTCCCAATTACATATCAAGAAAAATTTTAACAATCATTTTTATTTTAAGTTCCAATTTTTTCTCCCTCCTTCCCTCCCATTTCCTTTTCTGAAAGTGGAAGGCAGTTGGATATAGTTTATACATGTGCTATCCTATAAAACATATTTCCATATTAGTTACAGTTATAGAAGAAGAAACAGATCAAAAGAAAAAAAAACATGAGAAAGAATAAAGTAAAAGAAAATATACTTTGATTTGCATTCGGAGTCCACCAGTTCTTTACCTGGATATGGATAGCATTTTCCTTCATGAGTCCTTTGTACTCATCTTGGATCATTGTGTCACTGAGAAGAGCTGAGTCATTCACAGTTGACCGTTACACGGTGTTGCTGATACTGTGTACAATGTTTTTCTGGTTCTGTGCATTTCACTTTGCATTAGTTTGCACAGGTCTTTCCAGGTTTTTCTGAAATTTGCCTGTTCATCTTTTTTTTATAGCAAATAGTATTCCATTGCATTCATATACCACAACTTGTTCAGTCATTTTCCAGCTGATGGGCATCCCCTCAGTTTCCAATATTTTGCCACCACAAGAAGGGCTGCTAGAAATATTTTTGCACACGTGGGTCCTTTTCCCCTTTTTTATGATCTCTTTGAGATACAGATCTAGTAGTAGTATTTCTGGATCAAAGGGTATGCACAGTTTGGTCGCCCTTTGGGCATAGTTCCAAATTGTTCTCCAGAATGATTGGTACAGTACACTAGTGTCCCAATTTTCCCTTATCCTCAATAAGCTATATTTTAAATATACTGTTTCATATATTTCCAGGACATTCATTTTAAAAGGTCCACTAGGCAATTGGAGATGTGTAACTGAAAATCAGTCTGTATACATAGATGTAGGAATCATTTGCACAGGAATGATAATTGAACCCATGAGATTGGTTGAATCCACGGAGGCCACTGGGATAGAGTTTAGGGAGGACATGAAGACAGACATATATAGGAGACATGCAGAGTAAGTGTGATATGAGTGATGATGAAGGAGATTGAGAAGGAGCAGTCAGATGGACAGGAGGAGAAACAGGAGAAAGTAGTGTCATGAAAATCCACAGAGAAGATAGTATCTGGGAGGAGAGGGAGGCCAACAATGTTGAATGCTGCAGAGAGGTCCAGAAGGATGAAGACTGAGAAAAGGCCATCAGATTTTCTAATTAGGAGATCATAGGGAAGATCATTGGAGAGAGCAGATTCAGTTGAATGATGCAATTGGAAGGTAGATTGTAGAATTTGTGAGTGAGAGAAGGGGAAATGGAGGCAAGGAATTAGGTTGGCTTTTTCTGGGAGTTTCACTGAGAGACAGAGGAGAGATAGGAGATGATGGCTAGTGAGGACGGTCAGTTCTAGTGAGGTTCCTTTAAGGATGAGGAAGCTTTGGACATGTTTGTAGAAAGAAGAGAAATTTGGGGGCAGCTGCTGTGGAGAATGATCTTTCCTCTTTACCTTTCAAATCAGAGACAATACCTAATTCTTACTATAAAAGCCCCTTTGCTACTCCCTGCAAAGCCCCACGAAATGTATGCAACAATTCTGAACAAGTTGGTGGAAAAGAGTCCATTTCCTTTTGAAATAATCCCCTCTCTATCAGACTCAGGCACTGTCTTTTGCCATTTGCCAAGCTAAAAACCAACAGTTCATCTCAGCCCTTCTAGCTGCTCAGATGTGGTTGTGACTTCTCTGACCATGTGCCATCTGTCCATGCCAAATCTATTTGCCTAGGATGCATTTCCCGAAGTCAGGGACTCCAGACTGGGGAAAGAGGATGCAGTGGTGGCTGACAGTCCTGCATAGCCAAGCCACTCCCTGAGCTAGGCTGTGGACTTCTTTAAGCACTCCAAAAAACTTAAATATGAGTCTTAAAGAGAAGCCTCTGGTATCTCTAATTTATAATTAGAAAATCTTTGGTTGTCAGTGCTGTCTTGGGATTAGTGATTCAACAAGACATTTCCTGGTTTTATGGAACACTCCCAAAAATTAGGGCCCACAGTGCCACCCAGATGTGCTCCATTCATTTCCCCTACTCATCCCTGGAGCCCTTGGGTACCAAGGCAGATGAGCCATCCTGATCAATAAATTAACAGCTTACTGCTCTTTCTGTTTGAAGAGATAATTTAGTTTTTGTGGACATGATTGGCCAGCTTTCTGAGTCGTGATCACTGTACTTTGGGTTTGGCTTAGGGCTCTTAGTGACTCACCTGACCCTCCCACTACATTCACAAAGTTGGCAGAATGGTTCCTAAATCATTTATTAGATGTCTCCTCTTTTGTGGATATGGTAGAATCTGTTAGTTTTTGCCCCAAGCATTCCTCCCTCATTCTAAGCTGAGAGTTTGTTTGTTTTATACACATTATTTTCAATTACTCTTTACTCTCCTCCATAGGCTAGAGGTAGGTAACCTAGTCACCTCCCTCCTCCTAGTGACTCTTCATCCCCTACACCTTCTTGCCAGATTATGAATTCCTTGGAAGACTTCTCTTCCTCTGGCATTTGCTTCTACATTCAGACTAAGTAATCTAAATTGCTTTCACTTTTCCTGGCCTTTAAAAATAAAAGCTTCATTGCTGTCTTTTGTATTTAAATCATAGACTTTTAAAAAATATACCCCCCCCATATACACAGTAAGAGTCTTCTCTTGTAACAAAGAAAAAGAGTTAAGCAAAAAACAAAAACAAAGAATATTGTAATCACTGCATACATTGTTCTCCAGAGCCTGCTTTCTGCACTATTGTAAGTTCATTAAAGTCTTCCCTAATTTCTCTCACCTCCTTATAATTGTTGTTTCTTGCAGCATCATAATTTCCCACCACAATTGCTACACAGTCTGTTCTTCCTTTCCTCAATCAATGCATATCCAATCCACTTTGTTTTTCTTCTTTTGTTGTTTTTGAAGCCACAAATGTTTCATTGTTTGTTTTAAACAAGCATTTGAGAGTGTTCCTTTTCCTTGAAAATTCTTCCTGTTTCTCTCTATTCTTCTCCAAAGCTGGAATACCAGCCTGGAGT